TACACATTTTATTTCTATTACTGTAAGTCCCATGTTGCATTTTCCTTGTTTACCAGATCTTGCTTCCTCTATTTCCTCTTTCCCTAGCCTAAAAAGAGTTTGAAAGGAAGAAAAATTTAGAATGATTTAGATGAGAGTGGCAGTAGAGCAATATTTCAATGACCAGACATCCAAATTATTATTATTATTATTATTGGTAAGGGTTAAAGAAACAAGGAATGATGTGCCAAGTGCATTGAATGCTGGAGTCAATATGTGGAATAGCATATAAGTTTCATGGCTCTAGTACATCTCCTTCTTGGTCAGGCTGAGAACATTTCAGCACCCCCTTGTATGTGGTGGGTATAATTCTGTGTAGATTCTGCAACAAATTTGACTCTGTGGGAGTAATCTCTCATCCTGGTATGTAAGGGTTAATGTTACAATATAGTGCACCTTTCCACCTATGAGAGCTGATTAGTTTCAAAATATTCACTTCTGAAATTACTGCCTGTGGTATTTTATGATCTGAGTATGAATTTCAGCATCAGGAAAAAGCATCATTACCAAAGGATGATAGGGGAATTATGTTCTTTTAGACACAACCACAGTCTGTAACAAAATGTGTGACAGGAGAAAAGCCTGCTCTCTTATTTTCTCCACTAAACAGAAGGAAAGGTTAACAAAATGTATATTACATCACCATTTTATTTTATTTTATTTTATTTTATTTTATTTTATTCTTTTTGCAGAAAAGAGGTCTTGCATGTCCCTTGAAGTGAGGCTGCTTAAAATACATATAATTTTTAAAAAACAAAACACCTCTCTCTCTAGTCTTCTTCCTTTCCTTTCTTCCTTCTCCCACCTCACTACTCTAGAACATCTGCTTGCTTTGATCATGCTCATCTTCCCTCATTTTCCTCTATCAAGTTTCTTCTCATATATGCAGAGACAGTTTTTCCATTTATGTAATTTTTTTTTTGCAGCACCAGTAGCCATTTCAGACTATCACCCATCCTCCAAACAGACTGAGGATCACTTTCCCCCCCACACTCTATCCCTAGTTCTGGGTTCATTAGTCATCTGAATGGCATTGGCAATTACAACAAGACCACTCAGTATTCTCCTGGCCACTTTGCTCCTTGCTAGCTCCCAAAGGTCACCCTTTTCATGCCTGTTTTGCACTCACTGAGCATTCGTTTTATTAAAAAAAATGAAGCCCTGCTTGCCAGTTCCTGTTCCTGGAAAGTGAGAGTGACAGCTCAAGTACAGCTTTGCTTTGGAGACAGAGTGGTGAGACATGATCTTCCCCCTACCTTTTCCTTCATGCTGCAGCAGATGTGCCAGCTGTCATGTCAGGAATGCCCCAGTGCATGCTGGGAGTCCCTACTGCTGAGTATTTGGGGTGGGTGAGTTTGTGTATGAAAGCATGGAAAGCATGTGAAGACCTCTCTCTGTCTCACAACCCCACCCCCCTACATTCCTGAGTTGTGTTGCCTTAATGGGCTTTTAAACACAAGCTATAAACCATACATAGAATCACAGAGTCATAGAATAATAAAATCATAGAGTTGGAAGAGGCCACAAGGTCCATCCAGTCCAAAGCCCTGTAATGCAGGGGATTAAATTAATTTTTTTATCTTTAAAAATCACATTTTACCAAAATTTCACTTCCCCACATGAAATTATGTATATGTAAATACAATGAGGCGGTACATATGACAATGTAATTTAAAGTTATAATTTTAATTTTGCTATTTGTTTAGAGAGCGAGTGTGGCATAGTGGTTTGAGTGCTGGACTGAAACTCTTGAGATCTAGGCTCAATTCCTAGCTTGGCATGAAACCCACTGGTGGCAAGTCACATTCTCTAAGCTTCAAGGGAAGGCAATGACAAACCTCTTTTGAACAAATTTTACCAAGAAAAAAC